GAACTAGTTCGACGCTGAATAACGAACAGGAACATTATTTTAGCTGCGGAAATAAGTCGAAAGGTGTGGAATATAATTCTTGCACAAGCCGCTTCGCTTCGAGAAAGCCGAATTTAAAACTTGATCAATCACACGTTTATTAAGTTAATTTCTAGTTGGAGATATTGAAAGTTTGTGTTTTTCTTTTTTTTTTTTCAGAAATGAGGCGTTAAATGGGAAAATTTTATTTTATATTTTCAAAGAATAACCTTCTAGTCCAGAGTTGGCGAAATTCAACTTTCAAATTTCACTTGATCGAAAATGGTGACTTGAATGAAAAAAATGAAAAAAATTTTATTCTTTGTTCTCGACACACTTTTTCGCGTAGAATCACTTCCTTCTCGGTTGTAACTTCAATATTGGGACATCTTGCGTGTAGATTGAAAGAACTGTTTAGTATCCCTTGAATGTTCGGCTCAAAAATAGCTTTTGGCAATTAAATTAGAACAACTCTTAGTTTCCAATATCCTACAGGACTCTTGAATCTATAATTCCAAAGTTACACCAAAATAAAACAAATAAATATAACAAAGTTTCAAAACTTTCAAACCGATTTAATAATAATTTTAACTATTAAATTGCACGTGTTGCACACATACATACTAATAATTTGCACGCGTTGTATCGTTTCGATGTTCCTTTTCAAAGATCCAAATGAACTTTATTAACACTTCGTAGAGACTCGTTCGTCAATTTATTTCACCGTTCATCATGCACGATAATTCTGCCGCTGTGACAACAGATACAATCAACAATGATAAACAATAAGATGTCACTTATTAATACGTACGTGCGTAACACTTTAAATTGCAATTGCAAACTAATAATTAAATTTTACTAAAAATTGTAACGTACGTTATTGCGATGCGTTGAATGACCGCAGCTCGCAGAACACACGACGTTTCAGTCTTATTTCAACTTTAGTCTCATTTCACTTTGTTCGAAGTACCGGCGTCCATTTAAGAATCGTCCGGCATTTAGCCTTGATTAATTTCCCCGGTATTAACAGTGGCACACGAAGATGAAAATTCCGTTAGATCTCGGTGTATTATCGTCGGGTGTTTCCTCAAGGAATATTCGGGCTGGTGCCACGATGTTGCGACTGCTGGCCTTCTGTCTAGCTAGCAGCTTGCTTGGGATCGCGTGCACGTACAACTTTTCAGGAAAAGTCAGTTGCACCGAGCTCGTAATTAATGGGCGCAAGATAGAAGAAGTAATCAACGCTGTCACGAGCGAGTGGCATCGCTGCGTCGTTCTTTCTTACGTAACTTCCTGCCAGAAATACCAACAGATTGTACTCGCTTGAACTGAACAGGCGAATCCATTTTTCCCTGGATTCTCGTTTCTTTTTTTTCTTTTAATTGTATTAATCCTTTCGCTGTTACGAACAGAGACATCCCTTGTTTCAATTTCGTTCGCGAGACGCTACGGGCGAGATATCTCGTCGAATAATAAAATATCAAATGGTTTGGACAAAAGTCGAACTGTTGTAATGAAAAAAAAAAAAAAAAATGCGAATTATTTCATTTCGTGTGTGAATTTTATACGATATTATTTGACGAGATATCTAGCCCATAGCAGCGAAGGGATTAAACGAGAGAGTCAACAGAATCTGATCTATCGTTAACGAATAACCTTTTTTTTGTCAACAAATATTTTAATATTGTCCGCGAAATTCAACAAAAATAACTTAACTCTGTCAGAAATAAAACATGTAGTTTCGACACTGCTACTATAGAAACTTTCCTCGATAAAACGACAAACTCCCTTTGTAAGATTTATTAATTTTTCTGTCGTAATAAAGTAGAAAATCGGATTGAACGTGCTTATTGATTATGCTGGCTGATGGACTTGCACGTACGTGGTTCTATATCTAGAAACGAATCGATGAGAGAAAGAGTAAAATGTTTTCGAAACAGAAAACTGATATCGAATATTTCTTAAGTATACCAGAGTTAAATTAATTTCGGTACTACGCCGAAGTGAACAATCCGCTGAGGATTATTTTACGCGGGGAAATTAGTGGGAAACTGTAAAACACAAGTTTTTCATAAAACGTGTATCGTTCTCGAGAAGATTCAATTTGAAAGTTTCTCGAGTGCACCATGCCAATTTGATATATATATATATATATATATCGATTCTCTTGGAAATGAACCCTCAAACGGGAAAAATTTATTCTTCCAATTAATTTTTGCATGTAGAATGTCCAATATGGAATTACCTAAATTCGAATCTCTGGCGGACGAGCGACGAGGTATAAGTCAGAATTGTTAGTTTTTTCGGGGAAGCATTTTTAATATTTAAATTCAAAGTGAGGTATCGGATCGTGGTTCGCAAAAATGAAAAACTCACGTCCCGTATTGTACATCAAAATATGCGTCGTGTTGACCCATATTGCTTTGATTTAATATTGCCATCGGAGAGGTATGTACTTGACAAATTTCCGAAATTCGAAAACGAAGGCCCCGACAGAAAGAATGTTATTCTTTCCTGTTAGACACATTTTTACACGCCGACTGACACTCTCGCGATATAAAACAAAGAAAAGAGAAATAGAAAATTTTTGTTTCCTTCTCTCTCTC